CTTAAGTGTCCTCTGAAAGTTCCCCTCTTAATGTTCTGGCCTTGAAGGCAGAGTCTTCAAGGCCAGAACAAAGTCTGGTTCAAAGTCTCCATTTTGTTTCTTGTTCTCTCTTCTTTTTCCTTTTGTATATTTTATAAACAATAATAAAATGGTTTTATGGCATCTTCATTTGTTAAGGTAGGGTGCTTCAGATTTAAGCAACAACCCTTGGTCAAGTATATGACTTGCTGACTCAATTTCGGACAAAAGGGAAACGCTTTTACTTTAGTCATATCACAGTCCTGAAATATACCGATGCATAATTATAATGAATAGTATATGATGACTTTAGGGAAAATAAAAAGAAGAAAGTGTCAAAGTAGGACTGGAGTTCAACATTAAGAAGACAAAAATCATGACTACAGAAGAACTAAACAACTTTAGCATTGACAAGGAAGAAATTGAAATAGTCAGAGGTACCTCGGTTCAATCATCAATCCAAATGGAGACTGGAGAAATCAAAAGACAGCAGTGATTGTATAGATAAAGGCAGCAATAAAGGAATTAGAAAAGATAATCAAGTGTAAGGCTATATCACTGGAGACCAAGACCAAGATCCTCCAAACTCTTGTACTCCTGATCACCATGCATGGGCGTGAAACCTGGACAGTAAAGAAAGCCAACAGGGAGAAAATTGGTTCTTTTGAAATGTGGTGCTGGAGAGCTTTGTGCATATCCTGCACTGCCAGAAAGATGAACAAGTGAGTCCTGGAGCAAATCAAGCCTGAACAGAAGGCAAGATTCTCTGGGAAAGACAATAATGCCGGGAAAAGTGAAAGACAGCAGGAAAAGAGGAAGACTCAATATGAGATGGATTGACTCCCTAAAGAAAGTCACAGGCTTGAGTTTACAAGAGCTGAGCCAGGCAGAGGAGAACAGGACCTTTTGGTGCTCACTCATTCATAGGGTCACCATGAATTGGAGGAGACTGGATGGCCCATAACAACAATATAATGACACACTGTTTGATCTAAAAAGTTTTGTGGTGAGCTGAAATTATAGTTAAAATACCACCACCATCTATCTATACAATCACTGGGCTGCCATTGTCACATTTCATTTTTGGAAGAATATCAGTGCCATGCAATGCGCAATATGTGAAATTCCTATCACTGATAGCTTTTCTTAAGGTTTCCTTAAATCCTATGAATGCAGTTATGTGGGACTGGTAGCAAGATTATCTCTTGATAATGGTCTACTAATTGTGTGTGAATTGACCTAAAGCTACCTGCATAGCAAGGGAATAGTCAGATTAGCAACAAACCTCCAGATGGGGAGAGTCCGTGAGGGAACATTCTTGGAAATGCATTGCCATCTACTGGGGACTGTAGAGTACTGTGGCCAGACTGGCTTCTGCCTTGCTTTGTCCTTGTTAGATGGATTTAAAATGGACGCGTCAGCGGCACACTGAGGGAAATGGCAGCTGCACCAGCGTACGTAAATGGATGACAGCCTTGTCTACCCTGAAAGAGAAAAGGGCAACTCGTGGCACCAAATGAAAAGAAAGCCAGGCCTTAAAACAATGCTTTGTGGTACACCCAATCAAAGCATAGTCTTCATCAAAGGCATCTTGTCCCACCAGCTGTTACTGGTGTTCCAGTTGTTTCCAAACTATAACAACCCTAGTAAGATTTTTGAGGTGCACAGGATAATCAACTGATTTACCACTGCCATCCCCTTGTGAGTTTCCATGTCTGAGAGAACTGAACCCAGGTTTCCTAAATCCGGGTCCAACACTTTGCTCACTACGTTACATTGGTTCTCAGTTTTTGGTAACCAGTCAAAATGTAAAAGAATACATTTTCTACTAGCTTCCCCAGCCAACCCCCCTCTCCTGTTTTAGTCAAGACCTATGAGGCTCTTGAGAGTCCCCTGGACTGCAAGGAGAACAAACCTATCAATTCTAAAGGAAATCAACCCTGAGTGCTCACTGGAAGGCCAGATCCTGAAGCTGAGGCTCCAATACTTTGGCCATCTCATGAGAAGACTCCCTGGAAAAGACCCTGATGTTAGGAAAGTGTGAAGGCAGGAGAAGGGGACGACAGAGGATGAGATGGTTGGACAGTGTCATCGAAGTGACCAAGATAAATTTGACCCAACTCCATGAGGCAGTGGAAGACAGGAGGGCCTGGCGTGCTCTGGTCCATGGAGTCATGAAGAGTCGGACACAACTAAACGACTAAACAACAACAATGAATATGTCTATAGAGATGTGCATCCCTATGGTCCCTCCATGGATACTTTCTGTGTCAATGTGAGAGATGAGCTTAGAAAGATAGGTAGTCTGTTATTCCTGCAGCATTGCCTGTCCAAAATTTATTGAGCCAGGAGACTAGTGGTGTATCTTGCAGACTTTTTGTCCTTTGACCGTTCAGGTCATGAAGTCTCAGAATGGAGATTGCCAACATTCAGCTCAGTTTGGAATGTTCTGGAATAGATTCTGTGCAGGCACAAAGTCCCAACTGTGTAATCCATGGAAACCACAAAGGAGAATATACATTCTCCAAGAGGGGAAATATTTGTTATTGAAGGGACGTCTTTCAGTGAGTGACTCCTACTGTCCATCTCATGAGAGCCCTTCCAGAAGTTTTGGGAATCCCTTTTGGGAAAGGGATGTATATCCAGTGGTGTCGAACTGTGGCCCTCCAGATGTTCTTGGACTTCAACTCCCAGAAGCCTTCACCACCACCTCTGCTGGCCAGGATTTCTGGGAGTTGAAGGCCAAGAACATCTGGAGGGCCACAGTTCGACACCACTGATAGGCTGTCACCAGCCATAGCTCCCCACAGCTATTACCCAGCTAGCATGCCTATAGGCCTTCTTACATTTTGGAGAAGGATTTTGAGAACATGACCTCCCACCAGGTTACTCATAATTTCCCCAACTTAATACAGTAATGGATCCATCAAAAGGGTTGTGTGCACCCAGCTGTCAAAAAGAAAAGCATCCCCCACAAACAAAACTAAAAACCCACCCAAAAACAAACCCAGGAACTTTTTATTCACAGTGCTGCTGAACCACTCCTGGGTCTCCATGTTTGTGGCACTTTCTCTTGCTCTTTAGTCCTGCCACCATCTCTCCTGAGTCAGATCCTTCCTGCAGCAGCTGTGACAATGGCATATGTTCTCCAGCTGCTGCTGCTCTCCCTTAGTTCAAGGTGTCCAGGTGATGCCAGAGAGAAAGAGCTAGCAAGCAAGGGGTGTGGTGGGACTGGAGGAACTCATCGTGAATAGAAGTTTCACAATTCCTGACCCCCAACCCGATATTTTGACTGTCTGACAGCAGCCTTCACAATACTTTGGTGGAAAACTTTTAATAGATGAAATGAAGGGAAAGAAGAGGAAAAACACCTCCTGAAACTTTTGTCCTGTTTTGTGAATCAACAAGATAAGTCATAAGCAAAAGAACCTTTTTGTGTTTTTTTGGTCTTCCGTTCAAAAACCAGGCAAGGGATTTTCAGAAATCTGTTGTCTGCAGCAATTCCCCCAGCCACACTTCTGGGGGCTCAAATCAAGAAATGAATGTCCTGACAAGTGTTTTCAAGTTCTTAAACAAATGAATCCAAGCCTCAAGCAGGAATTTTCATCTTGTAGGGAAGGTGGGAAATGGTTTGGGAATTGCACGGGTTTATGGATGTCATAGTCTGACCATTAGGCTCTTTCCACAAGACAAAAATGGTGTCAGTCTATATTCATTATGCTAAGAACTTGAAAACTTGTCAGAACTTTCATTTATTGATTAAAGCCTCCAAAAGTGTGTCTGAGGAAACTGATGTAGACTTCTGGGGGCTGCTGTCCACAAATTCCAAAAAGCCTATGCCTGGTCGAAACACTAAAGTACTATAAAGTACTGCTGAAAATCCTGGTTCCTCAAAAAAAGAGATTAGTACATAGGGTCATCAACAGAATAGTATCCTCACACCTATATAGAAATGGGCGGGCCAATCAATTAAAACCTTCTCTACCTTTTTCATGCCCACAAATTTACACACTCACCTTAATTTTGCTACTAAGAGTAAATACTAGGTATCTCAAGAAAAGAGACCACCTCTCATTCTTCTCAAAACAGCTGCCAGATTGCTTTAGACTATAATCTCCCTGTTGGTAAACTCTAAATGAGGAAGAGGGGAAAAACGTTCCTTACACTTTGATACTCAAGTGTACTTTATTTAGCATTCAGCAGCCTGTTGCCAAGGACACTCTGTATTTTGACAGGAAGTGTACTTTTCCTCCCACTGACAATCAATCAAAAATGAGGAATCAATCACAAATGCCAACAGCTCAAGTGTGGAAGTTAATGGGTAAGGAAGAATCTTGCAGACTGAGACTTGGTTGTAAAGGAGTGGAGCCAACCATGTCTTCTGTTTCCAAACACGTTTGAACTCTGTATGGCTGTAGTTCGTTTAGAGCTGTAGATTTTACTTTCCCCACTAAATTTTTAATTGACCATTCCGAAAAATGTGGTCTGTATTCAAGTCATATGGTTTCACAGCTTATAAAGTAGGTAAAAAAACATGTTTGTGAACCATGGAAAAACATGATAGGGAAGAGACGGGTAATAGAAGCAATCCAGGCAATGAGAGAAAAAAATGTGACTGCATAAAGCAACAACTAAGCTATGCACAGTTTTAAGATGCAACAAACAATGCAGGGGCATGGACAGAATAGAAGGGAGGGGGGATCCTGCTCAGTATTTAAAAAATGCTAAAACCGCAGCATAGTGTATTACTGACTGGCATGAGATATAATCTTATTTAATTCCTAAAGAGGGATTCTTCGCCTTACAGAATTGTGTGGCATGTTATATGTCTTCAGTTACAAACAATATACAGCCACTCAACCCTTAAAAAGCAACCCAGAAAAAAGTACACATAAAATCTATCATATCTACCTGTGATCATTTGGGTTCTCAAGACAATCACTTATTCTACATCACATCTCCACCCAAAAAGAGAGAGCAACAACAGTTGGTTTTGGCTTTATTTCTTTTTGAAAGAAGCCGGAGCTGGCATCTAGAATCAAAATTTTCAAAAATCTATACAAATACATATCTTACAAAATGTACAGGAAAGGTTTGCCAAAAATGAGAAACAATACAAAGTAGGCAGATACAGCAGTGTCAAATCATAACACTTTCTCAACTGCTCCACAGAACAAGAGTGGATTTTAAACTACACAAACCTATGAACACAAGACATTAATTTACAATATATACAAAAATGAATAAAGATAAAGCACCCCCTTTTAATTTAGTTATGGGTCTTCCAACATGAAACTGTGGTGTTTTGCATTCTATGATCCACTAATGGGACCATTACACCTGGAATAGACATGGTTAACCCCAAGCCATAACTAAATACTGCTGTCTCTCCAAGGCCATATGGTTTTTAACAGTCAGTCAAGGGAAGGGTGAATGTTTCATGCCTTTTATACTTCCAAGACAGAATGAACTTATTCCATTTCTGTGAATCGAGCAAACATAGCTTTTCGTACTGCATCTTTATATGAATCTGCTGTGGAGACACCATAAGAACTACCCTTTGCTCCCAGTCCTGCTCCCCTCATTCTCACTTGAGCCTGTAGAGGGAAAGAGATATTTTATTAGCTTTGTGGCAGGAACACCAACATTACTATTACAGTTGTGTTTCATCTCTGTAAGGAAAACCCCAGTATACTAGAACATTCCTCTTAAGACTCTTTACTAGGTGCCTTATTTTATAACTGGCAGTGTGTGTTGTCATATAAAATGTATAGTACACAACCACTGAGATGCTTCAGAAAATTCAGAGAACCTAGGGAAGTAAAAGACAGGCTTCAAGAGAACTTGCTTACACATTTTGAAAAAAGCCAGTATGACATTACCACATGTAATAAATCTGTACATGTGACAGTGCATACCCTCCCACAGAAGACACCTGCATTCCATATAAGATATGAGTAAATTACATGTGAACATAAGACAGTACTAGACAGTCCTCACTGACAATGCAGGCTATGGCTGATGAGACCTAAAGCCCACAGACATTTGGATGTTTGCAAACCCTGAGTCTACAGATAACCATTTTGTAAGTTCTTACAGGTTACAAAGAAACTCAGTATAAAATTCTAACTCCAGCATCCTTGAGTAAAACTGAACTGTTAGATGTATGTCCACAAATTTGCAGGTTCCCTTTGTCAGTTGCTAAAACAAAAGAAAAAAAATGAAATACTTGGAACACGGAGCACATTGTATACAATCCACCAACACTTACTTCAATGGGGGCTGTGATGCCTTGACATTTCCTTCCTAATCCTGAACCTTCCCTCCATCCCATAGCCTGAAGCATTTTGTTACCAATATTGCTATGGTCAATGCCATCTTTAGTAGGTTGCTCATAATTCCTACAGAAAAACAAAACAAAATGATTAACCCAAAGGTAGTAAGAATATCTGATGTAATAATAACTGATTGCTCAGATACATACACTGTGCCTGCATCAAACACTTTCTTCCGCTTTGGTTCTGGAGGCTCTGGGATGCCATATTTCTCTCGTCTTTCAGCTGCTCTGTCTCTGTATTTCATCTGAAAGTAGATCAGTGTCTATTAACTTTTGAAAATTCTGTTACTTGAAACAAACTACAGAGGGCTTCTGACAAAGCCAGAAAACTGGAAACAGAGTTAAATTTAAGAAGTACACATATCTCAATTTAGTGGGACTAGGATGTTAATTTTCAGAACTAAAATTTACTGTGAAGTTTTTCTGGTGTTAACGGCAGTACAAAACCATAGTTAATAATCTGTAAATTATAGATACACCAATAATTCATCTATATTTATTCTCCTGTCACTGATAAAAGCAGAAATACATCTTCTTTCTCCCTAGGAAAGTATCTTGCTTAGGGTGCTATGACTGCTGACTGATCATCACTTGTCTTACACTTAAGTTTGCTAAGCTGTAAGATCCAGATCCAGATTTTTTTACTTTGGTTGCTTTCCTTTTTTCAAGGCTTTCAGACTGTAATTCTAGAACTCAAGTTTCTTGAGGCAGTCACTGGACCTAGTGGTACACTTAAACATCAAAGACAAGTGTTGTAACAAACACTCATGGGGTGTGACTCAATGTGCTTCTCTTTACTTGTTTCATTCTCAAGCTACTAACCTCTCTCTCACGCATTTCCAAGGCTTCAAGTTCTTGTTCCGACAGTCTAGATCTCCTGTAGATGTCCATGTTTTGCTTCATAAGGAAAAAAAGTTCCACAATATAAAACCAGGACTTAACAGTGATTATCTTATGTGGTTAAAAGAGGCAAAAATACTTGCCAGTCAATTTAAAAAAAAAAAACAAAAAACAACATTCCCCCTCATGACATACTGAAAGCCCAGAGGCTCATGCTATTTATTTTATTTTACAAAGGTGGCGAGATTCTCCATTTACTTTCTAAAGCCTTCCTGGCATATGTTTTATGTTCTTCTGTCCTGAGAACCGGAAGAGCAAGTCAATCTTCAGTTTTTTAGAGGCAAATACTGAATTCTGTACGCATGTTTCATTAATTTAAAGAGGGTAGGTGGCTACCTTATGCAGGTCTGAGAGTTGCTGGTGCCTGACCAGAGCTTCTTTGTTTGGAAACTGCCTTCTACATAACAAGCAGGCCATTTTTTTCCAGTCTGTTAATTTTTCTTCCTCATTCTCCAATCTTTCCAAGAAATCCTCCTCATTATCACTGTCCCCACTGTAAGCAGCCACTAATCCACGCTAGAAAAAAAAGGCAAACAGTAGTAGTAAATAGAGACAGCAGCAAACAGCCATTTCCTATAATAATAATAATAAGGAATAGCAGACTATGGAGAATTAAGACCATGATGGGCATGAGCAAGCATCCTAAATACTTCAGTCTCAATCTAGTAACCCTCATATCATTCTTGAAAATTATGCTTGAAAAGTGGACAGCCAACTAACCTGCAGGTTGTACTTCATATCCTGAATATCTGATAGGATTGCAACTACACTAGAATGTTCCATGTATGAGCCGAACCGACTCAGTCACCAAATATGGCTGTTTCCTTTTGAGAGATGACATGTCTTCTACAATATACTTTAGTAAAAGAGTTCATACTGGCATCTCAGTAAAAATCCACTAAGCTTCTTCCTATAGCTCAGTCTTTTTGTAAAAGTAAAGAGGGCCAAAAATATTTCTTCGTAGTTGGTCCAAACCACTCTAAAGCTTGCTGGAGTGTAAATTGTAAAAAACAAGACTACCACTACTGACCTTGTTTCGTTCAACACAGGATTGCTACTATAGATGACAATACAAGCTGCCAGATAACTAATTTAGGCTCTTTTTAAAAAGGCTCCCAATTCAAAAGCAAGGATTAGCTAATGTTTATTCCTCACTGAGCATATTGCTGAAAACCTTGAACAGCTCAACAGTATAAGTTTCTTTCTGTAAACTTACTTTCAGTGGGTTGTCATCTTCACCATTTTTTATCACTTCTGTCATTATCTGCTGTCTCTCGGACAATGTGCCCTGGAAAAAGAGAGAGTAAACCAATGTACTGTACTTGGAGACTATATACAACCACCTTCTTTTAAAAAAAATACCAAATACTAACAAACCAACTGCTCTTTACCTTTTTCTCAAACAGAGCAAAACCAGCATCTGCTGCAGCAGATTCTCTTCTTTCTTCTTCTCTTGCATTCAGTGGCTGAAAGCTATTCTTGAAATTCTCCTTCTGTTTGTTCAGGCTCTTAGCCCAACGTTCCATGTCTTTTGCAATCTGTTTGGAAAATTACCACTTAATTTAGATTGCCACTCTACCCTCAACTCTTACCCCTCCCACCAGATTGTCATGTGACTTAAATCAAATAATATTCTCAAACAGTGCAAAAACACCACTACTGAGGAAACCCTTGCTACATACAATAGTTTCCAATAGTATAGTCATTATTAGTCTGTTGCAACAAAATTAAGGATCTTAAGCACTAATACACTTATAACACCATGATTCTTCAGTGGGCTACAGCCTAGAAAAACTTGTATAAGTCAGCTGATACTTACAGGTTCTTAGCGTTTTTCAGGGTATGGCTATTTCAGGGCTGTATTGTGTGTGTGTGTGTGTGTGTGTGTACAGATATCTATAGAGATAGGTAGGTAGGTATAGTAAGCACACAGCCACACTCATCATAAAAGCCTCTTGCTATTTCCCTTTACTTTAATCATCAAGCTTTGACTTTATCCATTTTAATTATCACCTGTTGAGCAGTTTTACTCTTGGGCTTCTCTTTCTTTTCTTTCCCTTCTTTCGAGGGAGGTGGATTAGACTGCTGATATGTTGTGCCCTCTGCTGCTGGCATATAAGTCTCTTTCTCACCATCCCAGTAAAGATATTGCTGTGTTATTGCATTATAGTAGTACTGAAAGAAAAAGCAAGACTTCTTTACTCTTTCACATACAGCCCACCCATAAAGAAATCTACTACTCTCAAGGTAAGAACAATATTATGATTGATCAACTATTTTACAATAATCTGTACAAATGTATAATAATCATATATTATGCACAAAAACACTATGCAACTTTTTATAGCACAGATTATTAGTCACATGGCAAGCATCTACTAACCAAACAACCAAATGGAAATTTGGAATAACAAAGGGTGTCTGTACAAGCCACTACTGCAAAGGATAGCAAGTCAAATGCCTGCTTCCTCTACTTCAGTACTATCTTCTATTAGTAGCCACTCGAAGCCTTGGGAAGAGTTCTATCCAGGATGCCATGAATTAGATTTTCCCAGTTAATCCTCTATTGAACAGTAAGTTCTGTTTACTGAAAGAGACTCAAAGAAGAAGCAAATGAATTTTGTGTACCTGAGAATTTGGATCGTAATACAGCCCTGTTACAGGATCATAGTAGAAACCAGATGATTCATCATACTGATATGTAGATGTATCTGGAACAGCTGGAAATTGAAAGTGGGAGGTTTTTCTAAACTGCTTAAATAAGCACCGATTAGCATTAACAAATCACAGTAGAACCTCAGTTTACAAAACTAATGCATTCTACGGGACATTATATAAAACGAAAAATGTGTAAACCAGAACACGGATTGCCATAGTAACGGGGGGCGGCACTATAAACCTCCAGGTACAATGCATTCTGGGGAAACTTTCTTTGTAAACCGAAAAAACAAATAAAATGTAAACTGATGCATTATTTTCAATGGATTTCCATTTGTAAATCAAAAATTTATTTTAACTGAGGCGTTTATAAACTGAGGTACTACTATAGCCCATATAGATGTTGACAAACCTCCCTGAACAATATGGATCACCTAGAGTAAAGACTGTAACTTTTCAGCCATTCCTTCCTGGTAAACAAAGCATCTCTGCATACACACCAAGCTAGCATGTGCACAAAACAAGAATGGCAATGGAAACAGTGTGTCTACTTGAGACAAACAAACTGAAGTTACAAGTTAGTTCAGGCTAAGCAGCAGAATTGCAGTACAGTGGTGCGTCGCAAGACGAAAGTAATTCGTTCCGTGAGTAGCACTGTCTTGAGACATTTTCATCTTGCGAAGTACGTCCATGGAAGCCATCTTGCGAGTCACTAACACGATCGCAAAAAAAATCTTGCAGGTTTTTTGTCCGGCGAGGCATTCATCTTGTGAGGCACCACTGTATTATTTTATCAAGGCTTGTCAAGGCTGCCTTGGCTTCTTTTTAAAAAAGACAGGATAAAAAATAAGTACCGTATTTTTCGCTCCATAAGACGCACCTCTCCATAAGACGCACCAAATTTTTAGGAGAAGAAAACAGGAAAAAAAATCTGTTTTCTTCTCCTAAAAATTGGTGAGCCTTATGGAGAGGTCTGTCTTATGGAACACAACCTAGGACCCTTTGGAGGCTCACCCAGACCCCCTGAAGACCAGAGGGGACAGAATCACCACCTTGTGGGGCTCTTTTGAGGTTTGGAAAGCTTCAGAAGAGCCCCAGAAGGTGGCAATTTCGCCCCCTCTAGCCTGGTGGGGGGGCAGGGTGAGCCTCCAAAGGGTCCTAGAGTGTGTTCCAGGACCCTTTAGAGACTCACCCTGCCCCCCCG